GACGGCCCCAAGCTGGTCCGTAGCCATTTTGGCTCAAGCCATTCTTGCGCAGGGCCTCGTCGACCGCTGCTCGCCAGCCCTCCGCGCGTCCGCTTGACCAGCCGGCGGGCGAATGCCCCAGAGCCGCGAGCAGGTCCGCCCACCCCACCAGAGAGCGTCCCTGAGGCAGCTCGAGGCCGCGAAAAAGGTGACCCAAACACCCTGGACCAGGTCGGTGACGCCGGAAGTGAGCCCGCACATCTCGTCAGCTGGTATTGGGCAATGTCCGCCGCCAGCATCAAAAAAGCGTGAGTCGGTGGTGGCTCTCCAGGAGCGCCGGCTGGTCACCTCGGGCTGCGGCGCCTTCGAGCCCAAGGCAGACACACCAGCGCAGCACGGCTTCAGGCTGCTCGCCGCCGCGGAGCAGCTGCCCGGGGAGGGCGCCGCCGCCCACCAGCCGCCCGCCCCCCGGTCGCCGCGGCCCGCCGCCGCCGCGGAGCAGCTGCCCGGGGAGGGCGCCGCCGCCCACCAGTCGCCCGCCCCCCGGTCGCCGCGGCCCGCCGCCGCGGCCCGCCGCCGCGGGGGCCGCCCGCGGCGGAGGGGCGGCGGGCGCGTGCCCCTGCGCCTCCTGCCTGAGCTTCGTGGCGCCGCTGCTGGCCTCGCGGGACTGAGGCTCGCGGGGGGGAAATCTCGGGCCATGAAACAATCACGACGGGAGGCTTTTCGTAATTTTCGGCCTCCAGGGGCCCTCACCGGGCTTCGGGAGCGTCAAAAAACGACTCGGGATGACAAACCGGTCCTGGGGAAGGGGTCGAGAACTCTGGAGTCGACGTAATGAAAAACTCATTACGTCGGGGGTCGGTCTTGTCAAGGGAGGGAAAACCACCCGGACCCGACAAGTGGCGTTCCTTTGAGCGCCCGGGCGTTTACGAAACAGCCCTGCCCTGTTTGATTCCTTCTTCGAGTGCGTCTACTATAGACGGCTTCGCGTGTCCCCGGAGATCCGATGTCGTGATTTTTTGTCGATGCGCGGTCCCCAGAAGTCTCGACCCATTCCCCGGGACCGGCTTCTCATCCTGATTCGTTTGTTGACGGTCCCGGGGCCCTGCGAGGGCTCCTCGAGGCCGAAAAGTAAGAAAGACCTCCGTCTTGTTTTTGTCAAGACGTTGGCTCTCTGGGTCGGGGTGGATGTTCTGCCCTCTATCTTGGTGGGGAGGAGGGAGGGAGGAAAGAGAGGCAGGGCCCCGCAGCCCCGACCCCCTCGGGCAACGACAAAAAGGGGATACGATCGAAGATGGAGGGGCAAAAATATTAGAAGGAGGAGGAGGAGGAGGAGGAGGAGGAGGAGGGGGATGACTTTGAGAAACTGATTTTTGACCGACCGAAATCATGCAAAACTTCCGTCGAGATTGTTCGAGCCAACTCGCCCGCCAGCGCGCCGGAACTATCACGACGGGAGGCTTTTCGCTACTCTCGGCCTCCACAGGGGCCCTTGCCGGGCCTCGGGAGCGTCGAAAAAACGACTCAAGGACGAGAGCTGGTCCCTTGGGAGGGGTCCAGGCCTCTGGGGGTCGACGCTGCGACAGAAATCACGACGTCGGGGGTCTGGGCTCTGGGCGGGGAGGGGCGAGGGAGGAAGAGGGGCAGGCCTTCCGCAGCAGGGCGCATAGCCGGGCGCGAGGCCTGGCCCCCCCCCTCGAAGCTAGGGGAACAACAAGTGACATAAACATAAAAACTCGGAGCTCCGCGCGAATTTCTCGGGGGCGGGCGCGCGAGGCCGGGCGCGGGGGCCCCCCAGCGGCGCCTCCGGCGCCGCCCCTGGCGCGCTCCGCGCGCCAGGGAGGGGGGCCCAGCGCCGATCCGAGAAATCCGCGCGGACCTCCAAAAGTTTATGTTTATGTAGTTGTTTGTTGCTCTATGGCGTGCGTCCCCAACGCTAGTGTAGACACCCAACCTTGTGTAGGCATCGCCAACCTTGTGTAGGCATCGCCTTTTATGTCTATGTCATTTTTTGTTCCCCTCAAAGCGGAGCTGGCCGCTTTTCCGCGCTGGGGCCCCTGGCCCACGGTTCCAGGCTGCCCTCGCACGGCCACTCTCGGGCGGTGGGTCCGGTGGAGGCCCATGCCAAGAACCACCCTGCTTGCCTCCATCAGCGGGCGAAAAACCGTATAACATAAACTTTTTCGCTGTCGGGGGCGCCTGTCCCAGGGCGGCTGGAAAGTTTATATATATATATATATATATACCCCTACGGTGCCACCGTAAGGGTATAAACTTTCCAGCCGCCCAGGGACAGGCGCCCCCGACAGCGAAAAAAATTATGTTATACCGTTCTTCGCCCGTTAACTCCAGGGTGCTCTGGGTTTCTTGGGTTTCGACGGTTTTGCTGTGGAGCGGGCGCTGTTCCCACACCGAAAATCGATGGACGTCCTGGGGTCTCAGGGCTGGGTTTCTTGCGGAAGGTTTCCTGTGCACTGGCCTCCACTGTAACTTCGTAAAGCCGCATCCGCGGACACTGATGAACCGTCGTCTGTTCTACAGCGTCATGCCAGTCGCGCGACCTTTCGCAGGTCCAATTTGCTGTCGCGTGATTGTCGCAGGCCTTGACTTCTCTCGCGCTCGGAAAAAAAAGACGGCCCCAAGCCGGCCCCAGAAACTTCCAAGACGACCCTTGAAGCGCCCAAAAGGGGACCCACGACTGCCCAGGAAGGGCCCGAGACGGCTTCTGAAGGCCAAGAGGCCCACTAGACGCCCTAAGAGGGCTCCAGGAGGACCTCCAGAAAACCATAATCTTTGATTATACGTAGGTTGTTGCATTGATTTTGGCGATCCAGCGTTTCGGCGCTCCAAGATGGGCCTGTACGCCTTCGAGATCTCTCGACGACGGCCCAACAGGCTGCACGACGGCACAACATCGCTCCAAGACAGCACAAGAGGTTGTCAAGACGACCTCAAGACGGCCCCAGAGATGTGAGAGACGGCCCCTGAAGCGCCCCAAAAGGGACCTACGACTGCCCAGGAAGGGCCCAAGACGGCTTCTGAAGGCCAAGAAGTTTTTTAGACGCGCCATGAAGGCTGCAAGGGAAGCTCAGGAGGCCACGAGTCATTGACCCACATTATGTTTTTAAGCGATTTCAGCGTTCTCGCCTTTCCAGCGGGCCCCTGGGCCCTCCAGATTGCCCCCAAAACCTTCCCAAAGGCTTTCAAGAGGCCCGCAAGACGGCCCCAGAGGGCCCCAAGACAGCTCAAGAGGCCCCCAAGGCGGCCCCGAGACTGCCCCAGCGACCTCCCTGACGGCCCTGAAACCTAAAACAGGCCCCAGCACGGCCTGCCCCTGAGAGGTCCCCAAGAGGGCGCCTGGGAGAACCCCAAGAGGCCCTCTATGGCTCCCGCAAGGGCTCCCCGGAATCCCCCCAGGAGGCTTCAATGGGGGCGCCAAGAGGCCCACGAGGGCCCCAGCAGCGCCCAAAGACGTCCCCGGCCCCCCAAGACGGCCCAAGAGATCCCCAGGGCGGTCCAAAAATATCCTCCGACGGCCGCCAGCGCTCCCACTTTGTGCGCGTTCGTCCCTCAGCCCCCCGAGGCGCCTGCAGGACGCCCCACCACGCCTGTGCTTTACGTTGCCCGACCCCCTCGGAAACAGAAGGATTCAGGAGGCCCCGCAACGCGCCCATCGTTTCACAGTCGAGAATATGACTAAGAAGCCTGCTCCCGAAAAGTTTGGCCAGCGTTTCTTAACCAACTTGCTGGAAAGCTGGCCGGGGTTCTTAAGCACGTTCGCCCCTGCAGCATCCACCCAAAAAGTTGGCCCAGGTTTGTTCAAAGAAATTTCGGGGAAGCTGGCCCAGGCTTCTCACATGATCATGCTCTTAATCGCAATTTCGACTGTACACATCTTCGTCGCAGAGGCCCCCGAGGCCCCCGCAGGAGGCACTACTACTCCCTCCCGAGACATCACGGCGTCACGGCCTTGGGGATGATCGCGGCGCCGCTTACGATGCTCACCCAAGGGGCCCAGAAGTTCTCCGCGGCGCGGCCCCCGCTTGGCCCGTGGCTCCCACGGTGGCGTGCTGAGCCCACCTCGTGGCTTGCATGATCGCGTGCTGAGCTCACCCCGACGGTGGCTCGCATGGCAGCGTGCTGAGCTCACCCGCGACGTTCTGCACAACGCGGCCCAACCTTTGCCGGTGGCTCGCATGGCAGCGTGCTGAGCTCAGCTTGCACCTCGCATAATAGTAGGGTGCCATTCTCTCCCCGGCGGTGGCTGGCGCGGCCGCGCCATCAGCTCTTCCACGCGCCGTGAGGATTTCCACTCGCGCGGCACTTGGCACCACAGCGAGTTGCACCTGGAGCTCCAGCAGCCAGGAGTGACACCCAGGACCCCGCGCCTCCTGGAGCTGCACCCATCGCCCCGCACAGCCTGGAGCTACTCCTGGCGCCCGACACTGCCTCGAGTTGCATCGGGCACCCGTCACCATCGTGTGATGCACCCCGCGCACAGATACGGGGAGTTCTACCCGTCACCTGGCACGAAAAAGAGTTGCACCCGGCACCCGGCACCGCCAAGAGGTGGTCCTGGCGCACCGCACCACCTCGAGTTGCACCTGGCGCCTAGCGCCACTAGTTGCACACGGCAGGCGACGCCACCGCCAGGACTTGTACCCGGCACCCCGCACCTCCTGGAACTCCACCCGGCGCTCAGGGTCTGCGCCCAGCACCCGGCACCACCAGGCTTCTTTCTCCATCCACCTCCCTTCGGGCAGCCCCGACACCTGTCACTACACCACGACACTGGGCTATCAGCACGCACTCAGCATACTGCTCATGCAACCAATGCAACTGCTCCGCCCTTTGCCCACGTCACCCCTCTTCTCTTTGCCGCCTGCCAACTGTCGCCGTTCGGCTCAACCCCTCGCCCGATTCTCCCTGCTCTCCGCCACGTGCAGCGACTTCTTGGGGAAGCCACATGTTGATACCCCGGGGCGCATGACTGCGCCGACGAAACGGCCTGTCACATTTCCCACGGACTTCAGTTCCACGTGGATTGCAACTCGAGGATACGGCTGGGAAACATCACCGACCTCGGGACTCCAAGTGTGGAAGCCGTGTAAGCGACAACGAAAAGCACAATCAAACATCTCTTCAGAGGATTGGTGCGTTTCCCTGGAAGTGCCCTTCAAAGGGTACTGACTGCAATGACCTAATTACATCCAGAGCGTGTCCAACATATACTGGCTGCCGCGCGCCTTGTTGTCCAGAGCTCGCCGCCAGTCCTTGCCCCCCCTCAGATTTGGCCACGTACACTCACCTTGGACTTCGGTTCCAAGTGGATGGCGATGCGTAGGGACGGCTGGGAAGCTCCATTTGAATCGGCACTCCACGTCTGGAAGCCACGCAAACTACAACGGCAACGCACCTCCGACATCACGATGGAGGACTGGCGCGTCACCCTCGGAGTCCCCGCCAATGGGTACCGCATCGACCAGCACACAGAGCACGTCCACCACATGCTGACATCGGCCCGCCTACTTGTCCGAGGCTCATTTGCAGTGAAGTGGCAGCGTACACTCACCTTGGACCTCATGCCCTCCGTGGAGACGGCTGGGAGGCCGCACTGGAATCAGGACCTACAGGTCTGGAAGCCACCACACCAAACTACAACGACAGAGCTCCTGCGACATCTCGATGAAGGACCGGTGCGTCGCCTTCGAGGAGGGGAGGAGGAGGAGGAGGAGGAGGAGGAGGAGGAGGAGGAGGAGGAGGAGGAGGAGGAGGAGGGAGGAGGAGGAGGGGGAGGAGGAGGAGGAGACTGGGAGAGGGAGGAGGAGGAGGAGGAGGAGGAGGAGGAGGAGGAGGAGGAGGACTGGGAGGGGGAGGAGGAGAAGGAGGAGGAGGAGGAGGAGGAGGAGGAGGAGGAGGAAGGGGAGGAGGAGGAGGAGGAGGAGGAGGAGGAGGAGGAGGAGGAGGAGGAGAAGAAAGGAGGAGGAGTGCTCTTCAAGGAGTGCCGAGGTGACCAGCACCCACAGTGCATCCGACCCAGCCTGGCTGGCTCGCGCGCCCACGTGTCGAGAGGTCGTCCACAGCGCATCCCCCGCCGACGAAGTGGCCGCGCATCCCCAGCGTAGACTTCATCCCCACATTTAAGTTGAGCCTGTCCCTCTGCAGTTGGAATATTCAAAACATGGACAACACAGTCTGGGGAGTGTTCTTTTGGTGTCAACACAAACAAACCAATACTTGTTGGCCATTTTGGAATATGTTTGACTACTCTCATTTTTTCGTCCAAGCTCTGCCTGTAGGGGGACATGTAGACCTAACCCTGCATGGACTGCGAACCATGGGGACGGCTGGGAGGCTGCACTGAGCTCGGGGCTGCAAGTGTGGAAGCCGTGCGAAAAGCAACAAGAAGGCACCCCCGACATCACCATCGAGGACCGGGGCGCCGCTCTCGGAGTGCAACGTCCCGAGGTTGTCGCTAAAATCTACGGTCCCAGTACGGCCAGCGCCTCGCGCGCGTCCGGCCAATTAGTTTCGGCCGCAGCCCGACCGTTACTCGCCGCCGCTGGCGCTTCCGCCCGCGGCTGTAAAAAAAAAGTACGGCCAGCGCATCTTCGACGCAGCACGGTCACTTCTCCATGACTGGCCAATCAAATTCACTACCAAGTTGATGCACGCATGGGCGTAACGCCACGCCGCACACTGGGAACCCACGATGCGACTCGGTCTATCCAGATGCCCCATGGCGCCCAACCGCGGAGCCGCAAGCCAGACCTCTGTCGAAGATTGGTGCGTTGCACTGCGCATCCCCCGATGCGGATACGACGTTGGGAGTCGACCTGAACTCCCCGATCGCGTCAGGTGGCTGCCACTGCGAGCATCCGGACCACTCATGCTGCGACCGCTCCCGTCTCGCCCCCGTCCCCCCAAAAAGCGCCTGCAGAAGGCCTCTGTCACGCCTTTGCTTCGCTTCACGCTCCCCGCCGTCCTTCGAAGGGATGAGGACCCGAACGGCCTCTGGGAGACCCCGCGCCGCTCCCACTTGAAGCGCTTCCGCCCCAGTCCCCCAAAGCGCCTGCAGAGGCGCCCTTTCTCACGCCCTTGGGCGTTTCGCCTGAAAACTCCTCCCTCCTCCTCCTCCTCCTCCTCCTCCTCCTCCTCCTCCTCCTCCTCCTCCTCCACAATTGCACAATATGAAAATACTCTCCCACTTCCCCTGATGGCGTCCCGAAGATATCCGACACCCCCCCGCGTTTTGTTTTTTTACACACAGGATTCCCGGGAAACGGGTTTTCGCTTGTTTTTTTTTCAAAGTGCTGCTCTCGCCGAGGCGCCGGCCTCATTTTCGGGCCCCGCTCGTTCCGAATCGTGCTCCCGCTGCAGCGCTGGCCTCATTTCCGTGCTTCCGCTCGTTCCGAATCGCGCTCCCGCTGCAGCGCCGGCCTCATTTCCGCGCTTCCGCCCGTTTCGACTCGTGCTCCCGCTGCAGCGCTGGCGTCATTTCCCGTGCCATGCCACAGCACACGCGCACACACGCACACCACCACCACCACCACCACCACCACCACCACCACCACCATCACCACCGCCACCAGCACCACCAGCACCACCAGCACCACCAGCACCACCACCACCAGCACCAGCACCACCACCACCACCACCACCACAACCATTACCACCACTACCACCACCACCACAACCACGCACACACGCACGCACGCACGCACGCGCACCACCACACACTAGTCCGCGGATAGAGAAAATCAGCGCCATGGTAAGGGATGGGAGGGAGGGGTAGGACGTCAGATATGACGCGCGCGCGCACCTAGCTTGTCCTCCCCCCCTCCTCCTCCTCCTCCTCCTCCTCCACCTCCTCCCCCTCCATCCTCCTCCTCCCTCCTCCTCCTCTCCTCCTCCTCCTCCTCCTCCTCCCTCCCTCCCCCCCTCCTCCTCCTCCTCCTCCTCCCTCCTCCCTCTCCCTCCTCCTCCTCCTGCTCTCCTCCTCCTCCCTCTCCTCTCCTCCCCTCCTCCTCCCTCCTCCTCATCCATCCTCCTCCTCCTCCTCCTCCTCCTCCTCCTCCTCCTCCTCCTCCTCCTCCTCTGCCCCACGCTCCCCGCCACCGTTCGAGAAGAGGACCCCAGCGGTCTCCAGGAGACCCTACGCCCCACTTGAGACGCTCTCGCCCCACGGCCCCCCGGGGGGGCGCCCGGCGGGAGGCATTCTAGCACGCCGCGGCTGTACGCTCACAGGCATCCCTCGAAGCACGGGAGAAATCAACGAGGATGATGATAATGATGATGATGATGCTGATGATGATGATGATGATGATGATGAGGAGGAGGAGGAGGAGGAGGAGGAGGAGGAGGACGAGGGGAGGAGGACGAGAGGAGGAGGAGGAGGAGGAGGAGGGGAGGAGGAGGAGGAGGACGAGAGGAGGCGGGGAGGTAGGAGGAGGAGGAGGAGGAGGAGGAGGAGGAGGAGGAGGAGGATGAGGAGGAGAGGAGGAGAGAGGAAGAGGAGGAGAGAAGGAGGAGGGGAGGAGGAGAAGGAGAAGAAGGAGGAGGAGGAGGAAGAGGAGGAAGAGGAAAAGGAGACGGAGAAGGATAATGATACTGATGAGGAGAAAGAGAAGGAGAAGGAGAAGGAGGAGGAGGACAAGGAGGAGGAGGAGGAGAAGGAGAAGGAGGAGGAGGAGGTGGAGAAGGGGGAGGAAGGAGGAGGAAGGAGGAATGAGGAAGGAGGAAGGATGAATGAGAAAGGAGGAGGAGGAGGAAGGAGGAAGGAGGAATGAGAAAGGAGGAGGAGGAGGAAGGAGGAAGGAGGAAGGAGGAGGGAGGAGGGAGGAGGGAGGAAGGAGGGATACGGATTGACTGAACCCTGGGGGAAGGGGTCGGGGCTTCTTGGGGTCGCGGAGTGGGGAAAAGTCACACCGGCGGATCTGCCAAGGCTTGCTCGCCGTCGCGCTTGGATCTTATCTCTCGTCTGGCCCCCGTCGGTGGGCGCCCTCGTCGCTGCAGCTCCCCTCCACCCGCTTCACATGTTCCTCCTCGCCCGCCTTCTCCTCCCTGCCCCTCCCCCCTGCTTTCTTCCCATGCATGACCGCGTCGTGAAGAGAAGCATGACGGAAGCAAGCTTTTTGGCCGTTGTCGGCCTCGGGGGAGCCTCGCCGAGCCTCGGGACCGACAACAAACGCGACTCAGGATGAACACTTTGTCCCAGGGAGAGGGTCGGGACTTCCAGGGACCCTGCATTGAAAACACCAGGACGTCGCATGTCTGGGTTCTACCCATCCAGCCAGTGAGCGCACTGCGTCTGTTCCGCAAAGCATCTTGGCCTCGGCAGCTGTACACTTTGCCCGTCCACATTAACCCCGATACCGGGCCGGCCGCGCAAGCGTGATGTTCCGCACGCTCGCCACGTCGCTCGTGGGGGCCTCGCTTGGCGGCCTGGGGGCCGCCATGATCGGACCTGGCCCTCACGCCAAGGCGAAGCCTTTCACGCTGGAGGAGAGCTGCAAGCCCGAGAACCGCGCGTCGGCCGCCGATGCACTGCTGCCCCTGTTCCAGACCAATTACGACGCCAAGATAAAGGAAGCCTTCGCGAGCATCGGCGGGCCAGCGATGCTGACCATCGGAGACGGGCACTCCAACGGCCTGTTCTTCAACTTCATGGCCCACGTGAACCGCACGGTCGTGGAGCAAAGGGTGAATCTGCCGGTCGTGAATGTGGCCCTGGACACGCTGGGCATGAAGGGCTGCGAGGCAACCCAGCAGCGGCTCGCCGCTACGAGCCCCCGCTCGGGCTTTGTGTCGCGACTGAGGACGAAGCTCTCCGGGAAGAAGCCGCAGCCCACGCCCGTGCTCAAGTGCGTGAGCGTGGAGGGTTGGCTGCCGAGCGAGCTATCCCAGACCGACCAGGACCCGCGGACTCACGTCCTGAACCCCCATCAGTGCCGACGCCCTTGGCAGCACCGTCTCGACACGACCATCTGTGTCATGTGCGCGGTGCCTCGAACGGCCAGAGTCCTTCCAGGGCCCTTCCGGAGACGGTTCTGCTGAGGGGGCCAGCGCCGATGGGCGGTCCAGACGAGTTCGCTGGCAGGCGGCCGGGGTGAGGGGCACGGGCACCTGCAGGTACAACATGATCATCTGGACCAAGCCGCACATCCTGAAGTCCGCCCTGCAGGCCTCCAGCCACGGCGTGCTGATGATCGACACCGACGTGGTGGTCAGGCAGGACATCCTCCAGGAGAGCGTGCAGCGCCTGACAGAGAAGAAGGGCGCCTCCATCGTCACTGGCATCGAGAACACCCGTGCCGACAGGATCAACACCGGAACAGTGTTCATCACGCCGACTGGGCGCATGTTCACGGAGATCATGGACGAGTGGATCAAGGAGAACTCCAACTACCTCAACGACGACCACGGCGACCAGGCTGCCCTGCAGGCGGTGTTCCTTACCAACCACCGTCTGCTGCAGTTCGCGGTGACCTACGGGGATTCCGTGGGCCAGTGCTCCCGCATGGCCCGCGTGGCGACCCACTACAACTGCTACGCCAACAAGCTCGCGCCCATGAAGAGCCAGGGCGACTGGGACGTTGCCACCCAGACCGCGCGAGAGCAGCTCGGGCTCCACAACGAGAAGGGCTTCAGCAAGCAGTCCGAGTGGCTCCAGCAGAAGATCGAGAGCCTGGAGGCTGGAGGGGAGTGGATCATTCCCAACACCCACTTTGAGTGAGAGCACCAGAGCACCCGCCGCGCGCCGCAGGACGTTTCCGCGTTTGCAGCCCAGCCTGTTTCCGTGGGAAAATGGTAGCCCAGACGCGATCGCGTCGTGGAAAAATGCAGCTTTTTAGCAGTTTTCGGCCTCGGGACCGTCAACAACACCGACTCGGGATGATAAACTGGTCCTGAGGAAAGGGTCGGGACTTCCAGGGACCCCACATTGAACAAATCAGAACGTCGCATGTCGAGGGAGGGGTGATCGCAGTGAGTTGAGAGGGAGCGTGGCGGGAGCTGACAGCAGCCAGGTTCGCAAGGCTACCCAAAACGAAGAAGACTGGCTCCATAGAAAGCCAGTCCTTGGAGACCGATTCGGCAGAAAGCTGTTCAACCGAAACAGACCCAACAGAAATTTGTTTCAATGGAGACGGGCTCAACGAAGACCGTTTCGACAGGCTCGGGGCGACAGAGCCAAGTTCCACAGATCCGGTCGAACGGGGCTCGATTAGACGGGCAGCTTCAAACCGATTCCTCGCGAGGCGAAGGCAGGTGTGTGGTGCGAGGGCTGGAGTGGCAGGCGTCGGTCTCTCCAGACCCCCAACGTCGTGTTTTATTCATGACGTGGACCCCCAGCGGTCTGGACCCATTCTCGGGGATTTGTTTTTCATTCTGATTCGGTTTTTGACGGTCCCGAGGGCCGCCAAGGGCCCCAGAGGCCGAAAATAGTAAAGAGCCTTCCGTCATCATCCCCCCCCTCCAGGGCACATTCTGTTTTTTTCAATTGAAGTGCCCTTTCCGGGGCTCGCACCCTGTTTTTTATTGAATCGCTTCGCTCATTCCGCCGGCCCGTGATATGGCATCGCTGGTTTTTGTCTGTGTGTTCGTTGCCCATGTTGCGCTCTTGGGGGCGGGTGTCGTTCGGACGCGTTGCGTGGGGAGTTTTGATGGTGAAGCAGTTCCCTGGGGGTCGTCTCTCGATGGGGCGAAATAGAGTCGTCGTCAAGATGCTTCTTTGGGGGGCCTCTTGGGGTCTGTTGAGAGGCCGTTCGGGGGCGCCTGGGAGACATGTTTGAAGCCTTCTGGGGCTTCTTTTGGGCCTCCTGGGAGTCTCCTGGGGCCTCTTGGCGACATCTTGGGGCCTCTTGGAGGCCTCTTGGGGCCTCTTTGGGACCTCCTGGGCGCCTTCTGGGACGGAGGGCTCCATTTTTGAGTTCTCGGTATCCCTCCTGAGTCCCTCTTGGGCCCGTCTTGGGGCCTCTTGGTCCGTCTTGGGCGGCACTTGGGCCGTCTTGAGGGCTCTCTTGGGTCGTTTCGGCGCCGTCTTGGGAGCTTCGTGGGCCGTCTTGGAGCGGTCTTGGGGGCCTCTTGGGCCGTCTTGGAGCGTCCGGAAGCCGAAAAAGCCAGAACACAAAAAACATAGAAAAAACCAATGAAAATCAACGATTTTGGCCTCTTGGGGCTCTCTTCGGAGGCCTCTTGGAAGGCTCTTGGGGCGTCTTGGAGGCCTCTTGGGCTGTCTTGGGGGCCTTTTGGGCCGTCTTGGGGTCATCTTCGGCGTCTTCGAGCGCTCTTTGGGCGTCTCGGGGGCCTCTTGGGCAGTCTTGGGGGCCTCTTGGGGCACTCTGAGCGCGCTCTGGGGAGCCTGAGAGGCCGCACCCAGAAGGAAAACCATCTCTGAGTAGACTTGGTCGGGCGGCGGTCGGGCGGCGACCGGGCGTTGGTCGGGGTACTTTTCGCCGGGGGACCCCCAGGGGCCGCCCCGCGCGCGCGAACTAGAAATACTGTTAATACTGTTAACCAGTTACCGGAGATCTTAGCACGCCCTGGCCCGTTGGGCCGGCGAATTAAGAAAAGTCTTGAGCCTCAGAATTGTGTTGTTGGCCCCCAGTTTGCATCAACCACGGCTCCCGCCTCATACTTCTGCATAAGTTGTTCCCAAATCGCGCTCTCGCGCGGCACTTCTTCACACTTTACAGAGAAATCGCGCTCTCGACATTCAGGAGTCACGCTCTCGCTGTGGATTTCCTCACGATTGATTTGGGAATCGAGCTGTCGCGCGAGACTTCCTCGCGATTCATGCAGGGCGCACGCTTCAGCAACCCGCCTGCTCGAACTGGCCGCCTGGGCCCTTTTTCCTGACCAGCCTGGTAGGGTCTACCCGCCCGATCTGCCCGTCTGGTTCTGCCACGTGTTTCCTGTTCCTAGCGCCCCTCCTGCTACTCTCTCTCGTGCTCCATCCTCCTCCCTCCCCCTTGTCCCTTCCATCCGTCCTCTCTTCCCCTGCCTCGGGGGCTGCACGAAATACACGCTGCAGGTCAGAAAGATATGCCCCATGGGGGCACGGTCGAAGACGAAGAGGGCGGGTATCGAGTGCTTGGGATATACATGTCGAATGACACGCGAGCAGATAAGAGCGAACAGTCTTAAACTGATGTTTGTTGCTGCTGCTGCTGCTGTTGTCGTTGTTGTCGAACTCTCACTTCTGAGGGATAATTACTGTTGATCCCCCATCACCGGTGCATGCTGTTCTTTCTCAATCAAAGTGTGCCCCTCGACGCTCGCACCCGGTTTTTTGACAGGGAAAATCTTGGTGCTCATCCTGTGCCCCTGGCCCCCCGGATTACAACAAGAACAGCTCCCGCCTAAGACTTCCACCAAATTTACTCAGGACCCCCCCCTCTCGTCTGAGACTTCCTCCCAATTTACTCAGGAACGGCACTCCCGCTTGAGACTTCCTCACAATTTAGTCCGGGTCAAACTACGTTGTTGCTCCTCTGGACTACAACAGCAACGGCTCCCGCTTGAGACTTCCCCTAACTTTGCTCAGGACCCCCGCTCCCGCCTGAGACTTCCTCCCAATTTACTCAGGATCGGCGCTCCCGCTTGTGAATTCCTCGCAATTTAATCAGGACCCCCCCTCCCGTCTGAGGCTTCCTCACAATTTACTCAAGAACGGCGCTCCCGCTTAAGATTTCCTTGCGCTTTAGTCTAGACCCCCGCTCCCGCCAGACATCCCCTTTTCAGGAATTGCGCTCTCGCCTGTGACTTTTTCGCAGTTCATTCAGAAATCGCGCTGTCTACGCACAGGGACACGCTCGCGCCAAGGACGCCGTCACACTTTACTTAGGAATCGCGCTCTCGCCCTACTCAGGCATCCCGCTTGAATGTCCCACCCGCCCGACCCGCCCGTCAGAGGATCGCCCGCCCGTCGTGGGCTGCCGCCCGAGACTTCCTTGTGGAATGGCGCTTTCGCCTGGGACTTCTTCGAACGTTCGCACTCTTATCTTCCTGCTCCTCCCTCCTCCCGGGCCGCCTCCCCCCTCCTTCCGATTCCTTCCCCCTCGCGCGTCAGCTGATGTTGAAGTTTCATTCCTGAAGAATGATTTCTGTTGGTCCCCCCCACCGGTGCGCATTGTTTCTTCTCAGTCAAAGTGCGCCCCTCGGCGTCGCTCACACCCTGTTGATTTTTGACAGGGAAAGTCATCCGGGCCAAACTGTGCCCCTGGGCCTCCAGCTACAACAACAACGGCTCCCGCCTCAGACGCTGCCCACAGAGGCCCCTGCCGCAGCCCACAGAGGCCCCGAACGCGCCCACAGAGGTCCCGCCAAATTGCCCATTCAGGCCCCGAAACCAGCCCACAGAGGCCCCGAACGCGCCCACGGAGGCCCCGCCACGCTGCCCACAGGCCCTCGGCGCAGCCCTCAGAGGCCCCGAACGCGCCCACAGAGGCCCCACCACGGTGTGCCCACAGCGTTGCTGATAACAATGATGACGTTCGTGTTGATGTTGATGATGTGAATTCTCAGGGTGCTAAGGATGATGCAGTTGGTGAGGACGGCGATGGTGATGGTGATGTTGTTGATGATGATGATGCTGATGATGATGATGATGATGATGCTGCTGATGATGATGCTGATGATGATGATGAGGAGGAGGAGGAGGAGGTTGAGGATGATCATGTTGATGATGAGGAGGATGATGATTATGATGACGTTGACCATGGTGATGGTGGTTGGGATGTTGATGACGACGGTTATGATGAATATGATGAAGAGGAAGAGGTATACCATCCTCTGCTGCGTCTTCCGTCTCCGCATCTTGTGGAGCAAGGGGCCGTCCTGGGGCTGTTCCTGGCTTTTGTGAGGAGGGAGGAAGAGGATGGAGGAGGGAGGACGAGGGAGGAGGGAGGAAGGAGGAGGCAAGAGGTAGGGGGGAGGAGGGAGGAGGGAGAAAGGAGGGAGGGGAGGGGGAGGAGGGAGGAGGGAGGAGGGGAGAGGGATGAGGGAGAGGGAGGAGGGAGGAGGGAGGAGGAGGAGGAGGAGGAGGAGGAGGAGGAGGAGGAGGAGGAGGAGGAGGAGGAGGAGGAGGAGGAGGAGGAGGAGGAAGTAGAGGGCGCCCTGTTGGGCCGTTTCGGGGTCGTCTTGGGAGCCTCTTGAGCCGTCTTGACGCGATCTCGGGGGCCTCTAGGACCGTCGGAGGCGAAGCCCCCCGCCCCCGAGCACTACATGGCGCTGGGAATGGCGTCCCCCCCCACCCCCTTGCAGAGCGAAGCGAACCCTCCCCCCCCGGCTCCAGAGCACTGAATGGCGTCGGGAATGGCGTCCTTCCCCCCCCTTCAGAGCGAACCCCCCCGGCCCCCGAGCACTCGTCCACCCCCCCCCTTGCAGAGCGAACCCTCCCCCCCCCAGCTCCCAAGCACTGAATGGCGTCGGGAATGGCGTCCCCCCCGCTCCCCCCTTGCAGAGCGATCCACCCCCCTGCTCCCGAGCACTGAATGGCGTCCCACCCCCCCTTGCAGAGCGAACCCCCCCCGGCTCCCGAGCACTGAATGGCATCGGACGGAAATGGCGCCCCCCCCCCCCCCCCCCCCGCCTGCAGAGCGAACCCCCCTGGCTCCCGAGCGCTCGTCCACCCCCCCTCTCGCAGAGCGAACCCTCCACCCCCCCCGGCTCCCGAGCACTGAATTGCGTGGGAATGGCGCCCCCCCCCCCCCCCCCTGCAGAGCGAAGCTTGAG